TCCATCCTCTGTGCAATGTGTGCAAAATGGGTGCAGTCCATGGTTTCCCTCTTTGTGTACCAATTTTTCTTGAGAATGCAAAGAAAAGGAGGCAGTAAAACACACAACTCATATACGTGCATATACACATGCATACATATGTACACACAAAAACACTAAATACGTATACACCAACACACACATAAACACAAATACATACAAACTCACACACATATATACACAAATGAGCAACAGCACATCCATACACACAAATATGTAGCAACACACGCACATAAACACACAAATGCACACAAAGACACATATAACCAATGCATGCACACACCCAAATGTATGCAAACACAAACACACATGCACACACAAATATACAGCAACACACAAACATACAGAGGCACACACAAATACATAAATGTATACCAACATACACATATACACACACACCAACAATCCAAAGACTGTTTTCTGCTCAAAAGGGTCATTTGTAATGTAGGGCTTCCTTGAACATTCAATTTGAGGGCACCCATTTCTTAGGGATAGAGGTGTCAGGAAAGCATGTCTGCACCTGTTGCGAAGTTCTCACTTACTGCTGGACACAGACACAGACACACACATATAGAATATCATCCCAATTTTAGCATATGTACTCTTGAATAAAGTGCATGTGCATATAAAGTAGCATCCAAGTTTAGCATATGTCCTAATAAAGCAGCCAGCATTAGATATAGACACAGAACATTTCAAGCTTAGGTGAGGTCATGCAACAAAGCTCTCCTTCCTACTCCTCAGTCCTGACAGTGAGTGCTTAGGACACCTCTGTCCTATGACACTAGCGTTTGAGCAGCTCCGATAACAAGTTGCTTACTAACCTGCAGAGGGAACTGATCTCTCCGACTAGATTTGTTTAACAAAAATCTTCCAAAAATAAAATCTGTTACCCCTGTAGCTTTTGCCTTTAGAGGCAACTGCTTTCCTTTGGAGTCACTCAGAACAAGGGATGTGCTTTCCCACATAGAAACTTAAACTTCTGGCATCGTTTCCCAGCAGGGACTCTGAAATGATTTCTTCCCTGTGTGTTTCTGAAGCCCATTTTCACAGTCAGTGCGACCCCACCTATATTGCGCCACTCCACCTTACTCATCAAGCAAGCAAAAGTTGCCGGAAGGCTGGACCACTATGGGTCCACTGCAGCGCCATCATTCTGCTTGCCAAAATCCATTTGAGGCAGCAGGTAAGTACGCAGTTACGGAGGCACATTGGGTTTCTGAGAGGTACCAGCCTAGCTAAGGCAGAAATAGGCTCTAACTTAATAATCTGCTCATCACACACAGTAAGAGACACCCTGACTTATTCAAAGGCACCGTGGGTGGTGCAGAGGATGAATAAGCATGATTCACTGCCACTCTGGCACCCGGGGCACGAAGAATAATAAAACCCAAAGAATTGTAGCCGCCTGAGTAGTAAATTAAGAGATCCAGGGCTCAGCTAGACTCTAGACATCAATGTTACCATGGCAATAAAGGGCCCCAGCGTTCAGCAGCTATTACAGAGCAGGCATCTAATAGGCTAGTCTATGTCACAGCCAAAGCCCAAGGGGCTAGCAAAGAAGACCAATTAGCATATCCATTCATTATGGGCCTCTGCACACTTCTTTTCTTAATTCCAATTAGTTGTTTGTTTGAACCAGCATCTCTCGTCTGTATTATACTCATTAGTGCCTTTTAGCCAGTAGAAATAGGATTGAATTTCCACAAGGACTTCACAATTTCCCAAGCCTTCATTTTTTCCCCTGGGGGTCTAGTCTTATATAGTCACAAACCCATGGCCTTCAGTCCCTCGAAATGAAAGCATCTCTTACTTTACAACTGTACTCGACAGATGGAAACTGCTTTGGAATGTGATGTGCTAAGGGATTTTCCTGGAACCCAGTGAAACAGGGATCTGGGGCCATAATCTGGACCATTTAGGTCAAGGAAACCCTCTGATCTTAGCCAGTGAGCCTGCTGGCTTTGCCTACTGGCCGTTTCTCAGAGGCTAGCTGTTCAGGAGGGGGGTGAACATTGGATACCAGAAACTAGGCTGACACCATCAAAGTCAGGCCGTAACTATTCCAGTCTGAAGTACTGCCCTTCAAGGTCTGGCCTGAGGCCTGCCTATTCTGGAAACCCTCCCTTGACCATAGCAGCCCCAAGTGAATTCTCCCTCTTCCTTTCACTTCAAGAAGGACACCCTTTGTTAGGAAGTGTTTATGGGCAGCCTCAGGCCCTAATTTGGCCTATCACTTCCTTGCTCAAGTGACTTATCCAGTGAGTCCACAGGTGACTAATGCCAAGAGAAACAAGGGATTCTAGAGCATGCTCCACAGTGCCTGGGTGACTAACACCAAGCAACTCTTAAGCTCCACTGCCCTGCCCTCATCCTACTCCTCACCCCTAGTCCGAGGATCTAGCTACTCCCTGGATAGAGAAGGCTTACAGCTGATCTTTGATGACTCTGACACACACTGCCCACTCACACACACACACACACACACCTACATGGAAATGGTCCACAAGAACAGATTAGCTTACGTCACATGGTAATGTCAAAAATTCTCTAAAATGCTCTTTCATCTCTTCCTTCTATTAGCAGCAGAAAAAACAATCTAGAAGACTGCTTCTGCCCCCAATTGTCAGTTGTCAATGGCCGTAGAATTTTACCAGAGCAGACAACCAGGAAATCTTATGGGGCCGAGGTTGGGGAGCAGCTGTTAATACTTTGTCCAAGGAATAGGCATGAAGTTTTAGAGACCTGAATAATTTGTCTTTGAATGTGTAGTCATATTCAAGGCCCTTTTTATTCCTCCTCCATTGCCTTTGCAGCCACTGTTCTACTGACCAGTTCTGGCTCTACTCTGCTGCACAGTTGAGCATGTTGTCTTTTTGTTTAATTGACAGAAATAGTTTCTTACTTATTTCTTTGAATGGGTGTGTTTGCCTACATGTATATCTGCACACCATATGCATGCTGTGCTTGTGGAGGCCAGAGATGGTGTTTGATCCCCTAGGACTAGAGTTATGGATGCTTTTGAGCTACCACGTAGTTGTTGGGAATTGAACCTGGGTCCTCTGGAAGAGCAGTCAGTGCTCTTAACTGCTGAACCATCCCTCCAACTCTGACAACTTCTCTTTTAACTAGAGCCAAGTGTGAACACATTCAGATTTTTTTTTTTTGGTTTTGACATCCTACAGGACTTGGGGTCCCTCCACCGACCCACCCAGCAGTTGGCACTACAGAAGGCAGTCTGGACTGTAGTTGAAATACATTGCAAATACACGGAGTATGTATTAAGCTAATTGGGATAAAAGATTCTGGAGACTGCAGTATTTTGTTACTTGAATTCTTGTCACTTCAAATCTTCTGTCTCCCTATTCTTGATTTTTGAAATGGAATTAAAATGATCATATTCTCTTTTGTTAAGTATTTTATTCTGTATGTGTGCTGGTGCACAAGTGAGTGTAGGTATCCATGGAGGCCAGAAGAGGGCATCACTTTATCTAGAGCTGGAGTGAAAGGTTGTTGTGAGCCACCTGACATGGATTCTGGGAATTGAACTCAGGTCCTCTGCAGGAGCAGAAAGTGCTCTTACTGCTGGGCCATCCCTCCAGCCTCCAGGAAGATAGGGCCAGTTAATGGATCCTGTGTTTAGTTTTGAGGCTTCCATGGGCCTTAGATGTATCATATTCAACACTAGGGATAACACTAAATACTGGTGTGGAGAAAGTATAAGAAACAGAACTAGATATGTGTTCAGTGATGATCATTCCTGAAATATACCTTAATTTTATTAAAATTCAAAGAGAGAAGTGGGTTTCTCTTTTTCATAAGTGGCTTCTCTTTAAAAACATGGGGGCCAGGGTGTCTTGGAAAAGTCCTGATGAGTGACATTAAAAGAAATGAAGTTTTTAAAGTTAACCACAACTAAAGCTATTGTCACCAGAACAGCATAGACACAGAATTATGATTAAATATACCTAAGTGGTTGTGCTGTTTGCCTTAGTCTCTGCAATATTCTCAGCCACCTGGGTGAAATGGAGGTAGGGAGCAACTTTTTAAAAAAAGGATCACAAACTTCACCCAGACCCCAGAGTGGTGGACCAAACAGACCCAAAGTGCTCTACAATGTTCTTAGCAGTTTCTATTCATTTTCTTTTGCTGGGTCCCATTTTGGCTTCAAGAGTTATATATGTCTGGGAAACTGACACTGCAAAGTTCTGCCTTGTTCCCTGCCCTGATGCTAAGGGATAAATATAGATCTCAACCACTACAGAAATTTGGCCGGGATTCCAAGGGTGTGTGTATGAGGGGCAGTGACTGATGGGGCCACTGTGACATGTGGCCTAGAAAAATGCTTCTTTATATCCAAGACCCTCTTTGGAATAGGGAGGGTTAAGGCAGGAGCGTTGCACCTAAAATTAAAAGGCATAATACACATTTTTAGGAGTTCATGAACTGGTCCGGTAAGGAATATTTTATAGGTGGCTTAGAGCGTGGGGAGAAGTGGGTAGGGAGAGCAAAGGGAATCTTCCCTGACACCCTAGATCCTTTTGCATGAGATCAGCCTTACGAAAAAAGCAAGTTATTCTTGGACATCTCCCCTCACTCTAACTCCCACCCACGCCCCACCCCCTTGCACACACACTGATATCCAACTCTCAATTGAGAAAAATATGACTTAAGATTTCCATTGAGCCCATCATATTTCTGGTGCTGGAGAAGGGCAAGGGGTGGAAAGGCACATGAAGGGGGCGGTGAGTTGCTCATCCTCGTGACCCAGAATATCTCCCCCTCCCTCTGTAATGATGAGCTTGCTTTTCCAAAAGGGCTTTCCTTTGATTCCAGGAAGGGGCCAACCAATGAGAGCGGAGCATGTTAGATTATTTTGGGGAAGGGCTCGTGCCAGCAAGGTTCACTTTTAGTAGGCGCCAAGTGTCCCCAGCAACCAGTGTCTCCTGTACCAGCACAAGCTCCAGAGCTCTGCCCTACTCGCCTGCCTCTGCGGCGTCTTGGCCCACTGAACAGCCATGAGAAGGCAACTCCGCTCCAGAAGGGCTCCGGCCTTTCCTTATGGTTATCGCTACAGACTTGTGAGTCTCGGGGAGCCGAATATTTTGCTGCCCTTGTTTAATTGGTTGGGTTGGGTGCTGTGTAGACCTTGGATTGTGGCTGTCTTGCCTTGAGATAAACAGGAATAAACTAAGTTTAGGAAAACCCAGACTTTGGAGGAAAGTGACTCCCAGCATCCCAGGGCACCCTAAATTGCTGAATGGAAGGAGGGCTCCTCTCTTTGTGGGGGAACAGAGATAAAGGAATGAGAAGATACCAGGGAATAAGCTTTATCTTAGAAGTCTAGAATATGAATAGACCTTTGGCAGACCAGAGTAGAGGCTTCACTGCAAGAAGTTTGGCCAGGAGAAAAGGGAAAGAGAAGTGGAAATGTAAGGCGCTGCCTGGCCAGCTGTCCCAGTCCCTTTGGGTGGTGGCTTTGGGGAACCAGCTGCTCTTTTTCTAAGGCAGAAATTCAAACTATAGCTAAAATCACAGAATCCTTGACAGGAACTGGAAGGAAGCCTAGACATCATGTCCCCAGAACCCCTCGTTATGTTGAAGGAGGCTGCTGGTGGTAGCCTCGGTCTGAAGGTAGCAGAATGCCAGATTGACTTAGAAGTTAGTGGGAACCCCAACATGAGAATGTGCATCTTGTTTGTAACTTGTGCTCTTTCCACTGTGTTTCTGGTATACAACCTCTTGAAGCTCCGGTCCACCGTCACCCATTTCCTCACCTTGTCTGCCACCCCACCTCATCCAACACATACATACACACTCGTCCACATACACCTGCACATCCCTTCCCTATCACTGTTTACTTCCAGCTTCCCTTACAAATGCATTTGGTCCAAATGTGTCTACGTTTACTTTGTTCTAAACCATCAATGTGTTTGTGTATATACACTACTCTCAGGAGGGGTATTCTGAAACCCAAGAAGATGATTAGATGAACCCCAAAGAAAGCAAAGCATAAACCATTTTTCTTTGCATATGGTCATTTATATGCCTAAGGAACTAAGGGAAAATTGTCAAGAATGAGCAGAAAAGAAAAAAAAAACACCAATATAGTTCTTCTAACTTCATGTAAACCACTAAGGGAATTTCTCAACACTCTGGTGTAGAATCTTTGTTTTAATACCTGAATTTTCTTCCCTTTTAAGACTAGTCAGGGTCCATGGAGAGTATATATAGCTACACATTACTTGTTTTCTTTCTTCTATGTTCAATTGGTAAAACTGTTGTGTTTAATTTCAACTATTCGTCCAGAAGTTTGGATTTAAGTGCCACAGGGGATCTTGCTCTTTATAATATCTGATCAAGTTAAAATAAATCATTTGATGCAATTGTATGTGTAATTTTTTTCCTTTTAAATTAAGCAGGCATTTAGACGTTTGCATGATGTTACTAAATTTATCCTTTGGGTCATACTGCTTGTTTGTATATTTGTTTATATGTTTATATATTTAGATTGCTCAAAATGGAGCTACCTTCTGTCCTTCAGGCTTCCCTTTTAGGGAAACATGAGGGCCCCAGCACACACCCACTACCATATCTGAGCATGCTCACACTCACTATCACATGAGGGTGGTGCCACTTTAGGAACTGACAGAAACAGAACCTTGGAGATGAACGTCCTCATCGCCAAAGCATTTCCTACCACAGTGTGGCCAATCATTGCATAGAAGTGCAATTCACACAGGATTTTGTTTACAAGGAGCCTTTGGGAAAAGCCTGCCTTGCACAGTGTGACATTTCCCTATCCCTGGAAGCAGGGAAGAGGAAAAAGAGATTTGGGGTTCCTGAAATAAAGCTCAGGTGGTAGGATTCTGTGAGGGGAAAATAAGCTCCAAGAAGATTAATTCTTCCTGGGAGGATAAGACTTTAATGACAGCCATTTTAATAAGATTATTGTGAGAGCACATAGCTACAAATAAAATAAGGCTGTGGCCATGGTCAGCTGCTTCCTCTGTAGAGCAGAGGTGGTAATCAGGCACAGGCAAGAAGAGAAAGCCGTTCCAGAAATATAAGGGGATTAAAAACCCTTCCTGATGAAATGTCACATTTCAAATCCTGTGAGAATTTGGTGCATGGGTTTCCAGGGACCATGATGACTAGCCAATCTTGTATGTATGAGTTCTGAGGTTAAGGACGATAAAGTCTGTGAGAATATTCTTCCAGAGTCCAGGCAGTAGTGCCGAGAGAATCCCGAGTGCTTTGCTGTAGGCTTCACACTGTGAGTAGACCACAAAATGTTAGGAAATGTGGACCTTCTACCTGTGTGCTCAAAACCTGATTTGGGAGATAAATGTGAACATAAGTTCTCACACTAGTGAAACATTTAAGAACGTGCATCAATTCATTTAGCGTTGAATGATAGGCAAGGTTGGTTTTCCTAAGCCTTCTACTGTGAATCCATGTCAAAGTCAGAATTCCTTGATTATAAGCACCTACATTTTGGGAACACAGACTCTAAGACATTATCATGTTCATAAATCTGCTAAGCCACTTCTAGCCACTTGTGTTCAGTGTGATGGAGGAGAAACTGTGCAGAGTATCAAGAGACACAAGTTCCGAGACTGTCAACTCTGTCATGGATTTGCTGTGTGGCTTTGGCCAGATCTTCTCCCCTCCCTGGAGCTCATTTGGACAATCATAATTTGGAAGCCCCCGTAAGTTCTGATATGGTATGTGATGTGGAGCTGTACGTTTGAACAAATTAGTGAACAATTCAAGGGTGCTTGTAATCATGAGCTAGAGAGCTCTGGGCAGACTAAATGCAGAGAGCAGAGATTTGTCATTCTGTAACACTTTTACTGATTCTGAACAATCCAATATGCTCAACTCTCTGTTAAAGGCAGCATGGGTAGCTGAGTGCCCTCTAAGTGGCCTTTGAGGAATCGGGCAGGAAGGGGGCAGCACAGAGTCCATGGCCTCTTGCATTTGACACATCCAACCCCAACAGGTGCAGCAACCCTAACACTCTTCAGACTTGGACAGCACAGAGAAGGGAGGGTGGCCTGATTTTCTGCTGTTGCAGTAAGCCTTGGCAAACTCCCAAAGAGCAAGGGTACAAGCCTCCAGCCTTTATGTCGGAGGCATGTGAAATACCACGGGCAACTTATGGGTTTTTCTTTTTGTCTTTCTTTCTTCCTCTCTTTCTGGTTTTTTTTAACTTTCTTAAAACAATTCAAAGATTACTGTTTCAAATCTCAAGTACTGGCTGTAATCAATCGACAAGTATATGCTGAGTACTTACTTTGTGCCCAACTTTTTAACCAACTTTTTAACTAAGCTACAGGGAAAAACAAAGGAAGTATATGTTGGGATTTCATCTCCCAGGGGGTCTGTCCATCTAGCTTAAGACAGGAAGCAGGATCTAAGTCCTTGTTTGTGTTAGGAAGGCCTTGGAAGTTTTGAGGAGGGGACAGAGGTTGGCTTCTCCTCTTGATGTCTGTTGGAGCCTATTTTTAGATGCAACTTAGGATGGTGAGGTCAAAGCAGCTGAAAGTGTACAGAGCATTAGGGACAAAGCTGGCTTGGGCTGGGAAGTTGCCATCATAGGCCTAAACGTCCAAGACTACTCGGTCCTTCAGTGTGAGCTCAGCTCAGTGCTGATAGGTCAAAGTTAAGTGGGAGGCCAAGGCCCAAGACAGAGCCATGACATGAGATATCACAGAGGAAGAACCTACCTCCCCGACATTGAAAGGAAAATTTACCACTGCTGTGGAAATAATAGTGATTCGATATGAGCTGTAGAAAAGATGCTTCCTCCAAAAGAATGAAGAAAGAAAATCCACCCCTTGCGACAATGGGCATTTTTCTGGGGATGTGGCAATTTGAAAGACCTCCAAGTATTGAGTTGTTTCCATTTCTTTCTGGCTGGTGTGAAATGCCATGAGGATTGTTTTTTTCACAGAGAGGTTTGTGTCTTGTCCCTGCTCCAGGATGATCAGGATGAAGTAAATCAGAACTACTTAGCAGATGAGGAGGAGGACGCAGAAGAAGAGGCTCAGGTGATGATGGTGCCTGGTCTGGAGGAAGAGGAAGAAGAGGAGGAAGGAAAAGAAGAGGAGGAGGAAAGGGAGGAAGAAGGTCAGGGTCAGCCTACAGGCAATGCCTGGTGGCAGAAATTGCAGCTCGTGACTGAATATCTGTGGGACCCAGAGAAAAGGATGTCTCTGGCCCGAACAGGTCAGAATCGCAGTAAGTCCTATTCATCCCAATGCCCCAGTCTGGTGTCCTTGGCTTTTGATGTGGTATCCAGAGCTCCTTGACAGTACCCTGGATGGGTTTGTTTGTTACAAACTTCTTTTAACATTTCACAGAAAGACACCAATGGCTGGTGACATCCTTGGACCAAGGACAGATCAGATCCATCAGAAAAGCCACTAAATAGATGAACAAGAGTGACTGAAATCTACTAGTCTCAATATGCAATATAAAATAACACTGAGAGTGAGTTGAAAGAGCACAGGATTGTTTTTCATGTCCCAGTCCAGTCGCTTTCTATGCATGTGCTCATCATTTACCCTTTCTCTCAAAGCCTCGGCCTCCCCACATACCAAAAGGGGAAGTAGAAAATTCTGCATTGCCTCTGTAACAGAATCAGCATAAGACTTCAGTACAGGGTGAAAACCGTAAGGTTGAAAGGAAATTGTAGAAGACAATTTCTAGACTATGAGACCAAGCCCTACTAACCTGACTCGGGTATATAAAGTCTTATCAGTTCACTTACCAGTGTTCAAGAAGGTGAGCCCAGAAGCCTGTCCAGACCCCAGCTTGTGAGTGCTTTATGCGTCCATGGTAGATACAGAAGAATTGGTTTTAAAGAGATCATTGCTAGGGACTAAGGTTGAGTTTCCTTGTTGATTGATCATTGATAGAATTTCATATCTTAGCTCTTTCTCTGTATATCACATGTTGTCAACATTTTTAGTTCACAAAATTGCCCAAAACTCCCTTCCCAGGGCTCTACTCACTTCTTAAAACTATTACTATGGAGCCTTCTCCTCAGAAGATTTTGTGGGTAGTAAAATACTTGCCACATTCTGCATAGCCCAGAAAAAAAAAAAGAAAAAGAAAAAATAAACAGCTGCTGATTCCTAACTCAGTAAATCCATAGGAGGAAATAAAAAACAGTGGGTGCCATGGATAAAGTACTAATGCCCTGCTGCCAAGGTCTGGATTGTTGAATTTGATGGCCATTCCTTCCAAAGACCCTTTTGGCTAAGAATCGTCTGTTTTGTAGTCACTGCTGCTAATTCAGCTCAGTTTGTGTGAAGTAGCCAGCTCTATTTCTTGGAATTAGGAAGAGCAGGTGTGAAGGCTCTAAACAACGCCCATCTCCCATTGCTCTCCCTCAGTTCCAAGCCCCACCCCTGCCCATCCCTGGAACTGTAACTAATGTACCATTTAAGGGACATTCCAATGTTCTGGAAGCTCCAGACAAATGCTGGCCTCTCATTGGAGCTTCAGAGGGGCACAGCTGTTTCTTCCTTGCCTAAAGAGGCCTGGAAAAACAGGCGTTGGGAAATGCAAGTATGATTCTGGGAGGGGGCCCCATACTTTAACCCTTAAGCAACCATTGGAACTTCACCAGCTCTTGTCCATCTAAATTGCTCTGGTGGATGACAAGCTGCGGGCCAACAAAGAGCGATGAGGTAGAAAGGTTCAAGTACTTGGGGAAAACATAGCCATGGGGATGCTTCATTGTGGGCTGCAGCCAGACCCATGGTTCACAGGTCTTAGGCTAGCCCAGCAATTCAGACACCTGTCAGATTGTCCCAGGGCAAAGGGCAAATGTTCACATGATGCCTATGTCATGAAGTGCATGCATTACTGACAGCTAAGTGACCACAATACTGACAAGGATCATGCAAGATAATAATATTATTATCCCACTTTACAAATGCAAAAACAAGCTTAGAGAGGCTGAGCAACTTGCCTAAAATCACACAGTAACTAAGTAAATGACAGTTCTAGGATTCAAATACCAGAATTCATCCTCTTGCCAGAATGCGAGCTATCTTCATGAATTTGAACAGTGAACAAGGCCCTCCCTGATTTGTAAGGTCTCAGTAGATTGGCTGCTTTGTTGGGTAAAGAGTTGAGAGAATGAGCCCTTAGTGGTCTCTCCAAGCTTGAGTGGGGGCTATTCAGGACAGAAACCTAGAGGAGGTCCCAGGTGAAGCTATCTATCTGGAGGAGGAAGGATTAGAAAGATTGGTGAGTTTAAATGGGGGCAGTGCTTGCTTTTGCCTGAGGGGAGGTGAGAGACTAAACTATCACAGTCTCAAGGTCACCTCTCCCCAAGCAGAGCCAAGGGAACTCTTTGCTAGTGCCATTATCTTATCTATAGCTTTCTGGCCCACACATATTAAGGAGGAAAGAAGATATTGCCAAGGGAATAAACCTGTGTTCCATTGACTCCCCTTCATGCATGAAACTGGATTTCTTGACCCCCTAGGATAGCTCTCGGCTGTTGATCCGTTCGAAGGATGGGAATGGGAGAGAAGTGGAGGCAGAAGCACAAGACACACCCCTTTAGGATAGCTAGTGAGCAACAGGCAAGAACCATAGGCACACAGACATGGTTGTTTCTTCTCTGGGGACTCCAACTAAATCAATGTGGCCGTGTTCCAGTTCCGCTTTAGTTCCTCTTACACAAATGTAAAGGGTCAGTTCCATTTCCAGCTGGATTACTACAGTCAGTCTCTCTCTCTCTCTTTCTCTCTCTTCCCCAATTTTATTTGGTCCATGGTTCAATTTAAAGATTAACATTTGAACTAATTTTGGGGTACAGTGAAGTTGTGTGTTTTTTCCCAGTTTCTGGCTCATGATTCCGTTCAAATCATGTCACTTCAATGATTGAAGCCAAATATGTTTGCCTGAGAGGTCCCCAAGAAGGCTAGAAAAGAGCTCATTTGCCTCACCCTGTGCTACATAGTCCTGGGGCAAACATAATCCTAATACAACCCACAGAAGGGCAATTCATACAACTGTGCATCTGAGCTTATGGCAATAATAACAATATTAATATAGCAATAATGATGGATGCCATTTATAGAGCACTTAGGATCTGCTAGGCAATGTGCCATGCTGTTGATATGCATTATTTAATGCTTATTTAATATAGCAAGTACTATGCTACTGTCCTTGTTTACTAGATGAGGACACCGAGGCCCAGAATGGTGAACATCATATCCAAGAATAAACAGCCAGAAGTGGTAGAATCAGGATAAGGTTATGAAAAGAATGAATTTCAGATATTGTCAGGGATACAGATAAATATATGTTGCAGAGTCTACAACTTTCCCAAGTTCACTTACAGCAAGTTATCAGTGATTAAGGACCATTTCCTCCTACTGTCTTCCCATCCTTCATTAGTGTTCTCTTTGGAAAGAAGAGCCACTTAAACTTTGCTAAGGATGAATAAGACTTTAAATAAGTAGTCAAGGATAAGCCTTGATTAGAAGTAAGTCCAGTGGAAATGAGTCAAAGCTTTGAATTCCAGATCATGTGAAAAGAAATGCTTTTTTTCAACCCCTTGAAAATATCTATAATCACTTAAACTGAGTTGCTAGGTTTCTTCAGGACACCTGCCATAATGAATAGCAAAGAATGATCTGTACTCAGGACATCAGCCATGGCCCAGAAGACTCCCAAGCAATTTCCCCTGTTGAAGTCCACTCCCTATAATCTTGTTCATAGTCATCATGTGCTCGACAAGATTTTCCACTGGAGACACTGTAAAGGGAAGCTGCATTTAGACCCCTGACACAATCAGTCTTTACCAATTCCAGATTGACAAAGTCCAAAAGGAAAGGATATCCTGAATCTGCCTGGGTTGATTATGGTTCAGGAGTTCAGCGGGAAGGTGGGCCTTATTGGCAGGCACTGACTACTGACATCTTCAATTGCTCTACAGGTCTGATTTTAGTCATTTACTTCTTCTTCTATGCCTCGCTGGCAGCTGTGATCACCTTATTCCTGTACATGCTGTTCCTAGCCATCAGTCCCTACATGCCAACCTTCACTGAGCAGGTGAAACCTCCTGGTGAGTGTGCCCAAATGCCCTGCATTGTCAGAACTCTCTGGACAGAAAGCTGCTTGCACAGCGTGTTCAGCCTCAATTAACTTTGCTTCTTCCCGGTAATGACTTAGAGATTCAATTATTAAGAGGAAAAGTGAAATGGTACTTGGCAAATTATGGTCCTTTTCATTTTGATTGCCTGAGGGGTGGTGTCATGGGAATCTATACAGGAAAAAAATCCAAGAATGGGTTAATATATCCAAGACCTGTTTTCATTGCCAGGAGTTATGATCAGACCCTTCGCTCATAGCCTTAACTTCAACTTCAACGTTTCTGAACCTGAAACTTGGCAGCGTTATGTGATTAGCCTAAATGGCTTTCTTCAGGGTAAGTTCCCCTAAGAAGAAAAGTAGTGGGTGGGAATCCAAAATTCAAAATCCATGTGGCCTGGAAATCAGATTCAGTCCCTCCTACCCATCATGGTCCTGTGTTGTTCTGCATGTCTGCCAGCACCCTTTATAACATTTTTAAAAAACGCTCTGATTGAGTGTTGTCCAATGTGAGCTCTTTAAGGCACAGAGCTTGTTTTCTCTTCATGAACACCCTACAGCACTTAGTTAAATCCTGAGCACATCCACGTGATCATCTTTCTAAGTGATCTCTTATAAAAGCTAATTCTGGAGGGAGAGAATGGTGAGGAAAGGAGAATGTCCTCCAAGAGCTACAAGATCCCTGCCTCCTGTCCTTTTTCGGGGTAAGAGAAGTCTGGTGATGAGCTATCTTGAAGAGGGAAAGTAGGTGTCTTTTTTGTAGCAGCAATTTAGAAAGGAGTCACAGGACTAAATCTCTGACTCGCATTTTGATCTCAAGTGTTTCGAGAATTCTTGTGCCTGTAATGTTCTCAGGTACGCTTTCCGAGACAAATGAATGGCTTTGTCTTTTACTCTTTGAAAGCTAAGACAGTGGTAGTTTGGGAAGTCTGTGGAACCCTTAGGAGAGAGAGCAGCTCTGGAGGAAGTGAGTCACTGGGAGCAACCCTTGAGGCTTTACTAGCTGGCCCTCACTCGCATTCATTCTCTTCTGCTTCCTAAGTATGGATGCAGGGTGGCCACCCAGCCATGCGTTCTCCAACATGGTGGACTGTATCCCTCCAGAAATGTAAGCCAAAACACCTTTCTTCTGGAATTTTCTTCTGTCAGGATACTTTATCACTGCTACAAATAAGTACCCAAGAACCCCAAGTTGGAAATGATAGCACATGCCTGTAAAATCAACATTCAGGAGTTTGAGGTAGAAAGATAACTTGGACTTGGGAGTTCCAGACCAGCCTGAGCTATATGGGAAGATAACCATCTCACAATAAACACATAAATGAATACCCTCTTGAAGTTTGCATTATTGCATCTAAATATTGTGGCTAGGGACACTTAGCTAGGCTGCTTTGGGTAGCCTGTCCTGGCTGAAATGGGATGGAGGGGTGAAAGTAGCTAGTAGAATATACACTGATTTAGGGGAACAGTCTCTTAGTATGAGCCTGAAGTATTAGTCTTAAACATGTACATTTTGTCCTTCACCTTTCACCAGGCATAATAAAATCCTTTGTCCTCAGTTTTTAAATGAGAGAAAGGAGACTAACTCCATCATAATCTCCTGTCAATGGAGTCAGTTTGTGAACCCACATGGTGTTTGCTACTCAAAAGTGTTAGCCAGGGGTCCGCAGCATGGGCATCACACAGGCGTTGGTAGACTCTCAGACCAGACCCCACAGCTATTGAACCAGTCTCCATTTAAACTTTTTCAAGTGGTTTGTATGAAGCTTGAAGACTGAGAAATGTCATGTTTCCTAACTATACTGGTGCCATTTAAGCGAGAGTTAAAAATTCAGCCTTGTATTAGTAATGCTCACTGCTATTTAGGATGAAACAGCTTCAGAGTCGGCACCTGTAGAATGACAGAGCTGGCTTCTTTCTGATCCATGTAGTTCTATTTTGGGCCACAAAAGTATTTTTGGCATCTTAGTCAGCATAATGTCTTTCTTTAAAAATGCTTATGAGCTATTTCAAGTTTGCATATTGCCAGAATTTCTGCTGAGGAAATCCCTGCAATAAGATAGTGGATGGGGAAATACCAATTTTGACCTGACAGTGAAGGCAGGGAACAACAGGAAGGCATTGGGTTACTTCTAAAGAATAGATGACATGTGACTAGGGAGATGGCTCAGCAGTTAAGCATTTGCCACTTGCCAAGCAAGCAAGAAGACCAAAGTTCAGATCTCCAGAATCCACATATGCTGTATGGATATGGGAGAGAACCGATAACTCCAGCCTTAGAAGGCAGAGACCTGGAAGGCTGACTAGTGAGACTGGCCATATTGTTGAACTCTGTGTTTGATTGGCATATCCCTGCCTCAGTTGATAAAGTGGAAGAGCAATCCAGAAAGATTCCCAACATCAATCGTGGGCCTCCACGTGCACATGGGTGTGCCCACACATGCTACACACACACCACATACATAATACATACACATGAAAATAAGAAAAAATAGAGACAATATGTCTCTCCCAGTGTCTGAAATAGCTATCCCAGAGCATCAGTTTCACTCCTATGAGGATGGGAATGCTGCAGTAAATGCAATACCCATGTCACATTTTTAATTGTACTACCTCAAGAAAAATGCTGAGCCATGTGAGTGCAGTTCCTATTTTAAAAGTTATTATTTGAGCATAGCTCTTATTCCTTTAAAAAGATTAAAACAAATCCTTGAATTAAATGTAGTTCCATCAAAACAAAAATTAAAATGTAGTCATACTTGGTATACATCTAAAATTCTCTAAGCTGGGAACATAGCTTAGTGGTAGAGCATTTTCCTGTTATTTACAAGGCCCAGGACTGCAAGTAAAATTCCCAATAGAGGGAGATCAATAAAGACAAAATGGTATCTACGTGTGAAAATACTATAGTGAAACCTACTTTTGTATACTAACTTCGATGAAATTCAGTATTTAAAAGTCAAGGAATTTTAAGAAATAAAAATGACCAGTTACATCTCAATAACATTATATCCAAGTCACAACCTGTCTAGATGTGGAGACTGCAGTCCTTTCTGAGTCTTACCTCTGGTGGGTCATAGGTACAATCTTTTCTGAAAAGGTGAGCAACTTCAGACATGACAGCATGTCTGGGTGCAAGAGGGTTCACCAAGATCCACCATCTAGAATGATGCAGTGAATTTCCAAAGCCCAGTGTTATGGAATCGAGGGCTCAAATAGTGAACACACAAATAGCCCTGGTTCTCTGTCTGAGATGTGTTTTCGGACAAACACTATATTCTATGTGCTGCTATAAACGGCCCAGAACCCAAAGTATCTTAGAGAAACCCTCACTGCCCCTCTCTCGGCGATCCTATAGCTGTCATTGGTTTCTAGCTTTCAGTGTAAACTAGCCCTTTGCAGTGATAACTTGCCTCTTAGAGGTTGAGGAGTTGTTGGTTTTTCCTCCTCCTCTCCCTCCTCTTCTCTCCTCCTATTCTTCCATATTCCTTCTGATCCCCTACCACAGCTGCCTGTCCTTGACCTCAAAGGGAGACATTTCCTAAGTTGAACTTAAGGAATTTTAACCTAGAAACAGCCTCCTGACATATTCTATGCCTTGATATGATACAGTCCCTCTTCCAAAATCTACTAATAGAGGTCCATTCTTCTCTGAGAATAGAAGGGATGGCCACTCCAACTGTGGTGTTTGCCATGTCCACAAAGAAATAATGGGAAATAGAGAAAAGTTATAAGATGATCAACCTATAATCCCGAGATGGACATTTGAAAGTTCTGAGGAAAAGAGAAGCAATGGATTAGACCATCAGGTTGGCTGAGAGGCAAGAAGGCTTCCTAGAGCAGTGGTTCCCAACCCATGGGTCACAACCCCTTTGGGTATAGCATATCAGATATCCTGTATCTCAGATATTTACATTATGACTCACAACAGTAGCAAAATTACACTTATGAGGAGGCAACAAAAATAATTTTATAGTTGGAGGGTCACCACAACATGAGGAACTATACTAAAGGGTCACAGCATTAGGAAAGTTGAGAAGCACTGCCCTAGAGGGATGATGCTAGGAATAGCCCTCGGGTACCTAATACCTGCAAGGATTAAAGCAGAACAAGAGGACTTCCGAAGGAGTGCAAGCGTGTGTGAGGAAAATGACTTAGAGAAAAGCACTGGAAGCATGGGCTTCCCTTCTAGAACCTCTCTAACATGACCCTTTGCCACCCACATATGCTGTAGGCTATAATGACAGTCTTCAAGAGGAAATGAATGTAGATTGTCCTCCGGGACAGTACTTCATCCAAGATGGAGATGAAGATGAGGACAAGAAGGCCTGCCAATTTAAACGCTCCTTCCTGAAGAATTGCTCTGGACTGGAGGACCCTACTTTTGGATACTCTACTGGACAGCCTTGCATCCTCCTCAAGATGAACCGGGTATCTTAGCCCTTGGGATCTGTTGGCGATAAATGGATGAGTGCAGTAGGAGAGTGTAGAAAACACATGTCTGTTGGACTCTGGTATTCGTACACTGCAGGTTTGGACGTTTTTATCCACAGCATCAAGCATGCAAACAACCAGACAAGCTGACCGATTAATTTTTTCCTGAGCATTTCCTATGGTCATTCTTCTTTCCCATACACAAAGCTGCCCCTTGAAGGCCACTAGTTGAATGTAATGGAGTGTGTCTCTAATCTCAACACTCAGAAGGCAGAGGCAGGAGGGTCTCAAGATGCAGGCCAGACTGTGTCTCAGAAATGAAATGGGAGTGTCCTGAGATGTTTGGAGCACAGGGTTGACATGGGGACATGATGGAGAGCAATTCTCACGTTTTCATAACACTTAAAAATGTACTGTTCCAGGGTAGAGAGATGTCTCAGTGGTTAAAAGCACTGGCTGCTCTTCTAGAGGACCTGGGTTTGATTCTCAGCTCCCAAATAGCAGCTCACAACTGTCTGTAACTCGAGTCTCATGAGAGCCAAGATTCTCTTCTGACTTCTGCAGGCATCATTCATGTACATGCACATACATGCAAGCCAAACACCCATACACATAAAAATAAAATAATAATTAATGCTTTAAAAATTACCTTTTTTAGTATATGTGCTGCCAAAGGGAGCACTAAATGCACCTTTTTTAATCATGCCCTCCTTAGGGAGTGGTGGAACCTTTTGCCAAATACGGTCTTATTGAAACTAGAAAGTTCTTCACATCCTTTTGGTTATTTTGCAGGATTTTTTTTCTGTGTATGAACCTAAGACACAAATATATCAAGGAGCAAGCTGGGCTATGCAACTTTGAAGTTGTTTGTCACATTTCTGAAAGGGGGAACAGATGAAATTTATGTATGAGGAATGATAATCAAAAGCAGGAAGAAAAATTCCATTTTTGCTGTGAAATCTGTTTCTTAAAAAATAAATAAATAGGCCTTTAATCCCAGCACTTGGAAGGCAGAGGCAGATGGATCTCTGTAAGTTTGAGGTCATCTGGTCTACAGAGTAAGATCCAGAACAGCCAGAGCTGCTACACAGAGAAACCACGTCTTGAAAAACCCAAATAATTATAAATATGTATAAACAATAAATAAATAAATAAATAAATAAATAAATAAATAAATAAATAAATAAATAAATAAATAAATAATAAATGAAGCAAACACTGATTTTCTTTCACCAGATTGTAGGTTTTCGTCCTGAGCTTGGAGATCCTGTGAAGGTGTCCTGCAAAGTTCAGGTAAACTATCCTTTTGAGTAAGTGTGGTTAGCACTTTTATTTCAGGCAAACAGAGATAATTCTTCTATTCTAGAGATTTCTACATGGGTGGTGAGTAGAAAAAGCATTAGTGTTTTTCGCAATTATTCCTCCTTTTAATGCATTAAGAACTATTTCCAAAAAGCATTCAGTGTGTGTGCCTGTGTGTGTGTGTGTGTGTGTGTGTGTGTGTGTGTGTGTGTGTGTGTGTGTGATTTACACCTGTGAAAGCCAGAGACTGAACCTCAGCTAGGGGCCACAGCAGGGAACAACACTGTGCCAAGACATTAATTGGGATTCTGTTTACACTCTTGCTTTTAGCTCTAATGGCTTGTTTCTTTGAACTAAACAAGCAGCTTTCATTAGAGTCATTAGTCCCTGATTTTAAAACTGAATTTCACATTTTACAGCAATGACCAGTGGCACTGGGTGTTGCAATAACAAATGACTACAAGGGAAGTATAAACAGAAGTCCATTAATATGCTAATTAACTGTCCTTCAAGGGACCATTAACTCCTATCTCATCTGCACCAATTAGCTCCTTTGTAGGCAAAAGCCCTGGATCTTTGCATTGCTTCTTAAACAGGCAATAGCTCCCTTTTGTTCAGTGACATCATCTGTATCCCCTAGCCTTGGACAGTTGTCTTGCAAACATTGCAAAAATAGTCATTGTCAGAACTAGAAATAAAGCAGACAACTCTAGTCTTCACAGGGGCAGATCAGAAAAAAAAAGACAGTACTCACTCAGCCACACTCAGCAAGTGTTTATTGGTCACTTATTATATACAAGTGTTTAACTAGCTGTTGGGGATGTCGAGGTAAACATAACTGAAATCAGTGCCAAGAAATATTAACAGCAAGAATGAAAGGAACCATGGGGACACAGAAGAGAGAACAGTCAGTTCCATGTGGGAAGTGGTCATAAGGAAGATGAGCTTCATTGGGTCAGACAACATTTGCCAGCAGAACAAGGTGAGAAGAGAAGAGCATTCATTCTGTTCAGATGTACGTGTGTGTGCATAAAGTCACATGTGGGATATGACTACAAACTAATGGAATTGATCCCACAGGCCATCATTAAAGATGAATTCACTCGCTTTTGAATATATGAATAAGTCATAGAGAGCAACGCAGTCTAAAGTAACAGCAAGTGCTGTGCCACTGAGCCATATCCCTAGCTCTTAATCTAACACATTAATTGGGCCAACTTCTATTTGCATTTCCCTAATGTAAGCTGTTCATTTTCCAAGTTATTATATACTGAGCCTTACTGAGAATGGTGCTTTTAAAAATTAGAAATATTAACTTCAATACACTTTTTAAAAAATAATCAATACTGGCCAAATCCATACCCACTTGTAGCAATCAAGCAGGATGTGGTAATAACCAAAATTGAACTATAGGGTACACAGTGCACAGTGTACAACATATTGGTTATGATCTATTGACAGAAGTGATCCTATGGCCCTAATGAGTAATTGGGTAGTAGAGATACACCCTTTGTCCATATGAGCCCCCAGACTGTCGCTGCTTATATCAGCCATAGTTCCTGGGCCCTCCATCCCTGGTGTGATGTGATTAAGGGTAGCCCTATTTAATTATCCCCCACTATTTTGTTCCTCTGGCTTACTGTCTGAATTCTGTGTACTGTGATTAAGCAGTACAGAGAATGTGGACAGAAGCATGAGTTCAGGTGAGCTAACTACAGACTGTATGGCTATGCATCAGGTTCCTGTGGGATTGACTTCCAATAGAACTGAACCTACAATGAGGACTTAGGAAATGTTCCCTAATGTATATCTACTTCAGCAGCAAAATCCAAGGTGGTGCACTACACTGTGATTTTTTTTTTTTTTTTTTTTTTTTTTTTTTTTTTTTTTTTGGAGATAGGCTACAATCATAGGCTCTTTCTGGAACAGCACCAAGTACTCAAAGGCCTTTCGAGCCCTTCTGCCTAGGACCCAAGAAACCAGAACAGAGCCATACAAAGAAACTTTGCCCTCAATAACCCAGGCCTTCTATATGATTTTCTTTGAACTGTAAAGCCAAGGCATAGTCACATCCTGGAAATGTTTCTCTATGGACAAGTCAGTGTTGAGCTCTAACCAATTCTGAATTTAGGTTTGGGACAATTGGTTGAGAGTCACATAGTAATTTTTTTTCAAGACAGGATTTCTCTGTGTAGCTTTGGAGCCTGTTCTGGAACTTGCTCTGTAGAACTGGCTGGCCTCGAACTCACAGAGATCCACCTGCCTCTGCCTCCCGAGTGTTGGGACTAAAGGCGTGTGCCACCACCGCCCCGTTTACTAATTTTACCTGAGCCCAAGTCCCTTTAAGCTAGACTCTAGCTCTCTCTGTAACCCAACATCTTACATCTATCTGCCTTTGCTTACAGAAAGGTGATGAAAACGACATTCGATCCATCAATTACTACCCAGAGTCGGCTTCTTTTGACCTCCGCTACTACCCTTACTATGGCAAACTGACTCATGTAAGCTGTATCCTTCTTTCTCTCTCTTTCCTAAAGGGCTCAGAGACAAAGGAAGGGCTGCCTGGGATTTGAGAGAATTAGGGAGCAGTGATAGTAACAGACAGATGAGTAAACTATAATGGGAGTGGGGGAGGGGACCCCCCCCACATTCCTAACAACTACAGATCTTTCCAAATCCAAAAGACTGTCATATATAGTCTCATCTAAGCACTTCAGTTTTCAGATGAGTAAATTGGAGCTCAGAATGGGAAAGAGACTTACCCAAAATCACACAGCTAATTAGCAGCAAAGTCAGGAGAAGGCAGATTACTAACAGTGTGTTTAATGTCTAAGTGATCATACATACCTGTGTGCCAGTGCAGGCTTCATCTCCAGTATAGGATCTTGAGGTATACTAGTTCTAGTTTGATTTATGGTCTGATAGCCATAAAATCAAATCATTCTGAGTCAGAATTGGCTTCCCCCCAGAGGATAGTCAGACATCTTGACACTGACTTATGAGAGAGCCATGTAATTTCTCCGAAGCAGGGAAATCAGGTTGGTTGCTGTGATCATTTGTGACTTGACATCATGAAGTCTGCACAGTTCCCTTTGCTGAGGTTACCCTAACCTGCCTTGAGTCGCTGACCACCACCACCCCTTGCTGCCATCTTGGCCCATTTAGAATTCATTGTTCTTTCGCCTGCAGGTTAACTACACCTCCCCTCTGGTGGCAATGCATTTTACAGATGTGGTGAAGAACCAGGCGGTGCCTGTCCAGTGCCAGCTGAAGGGCAAAGGCATCGTAAATGATGTCATCAACGATCGCTTTGTGGGGAGGATTATCTTTACCCTGAACATAAAAACCTAGGGACTCTGGGGGGCCACTCCCAGCAGTTCTGATTCTGTTTTGTGTTAGCCCTGGTAGCCCCTCGATTCCTTTTTCTTCAGTTAAGACACAGCCAGATGGACGCCTAAGACAGCAGATCATCTTTCCTTGCCTTTGACGTGTGTATGAAGTGATATTATGGGACCTGCTTGGCTTTTTCTTGAAGGTCATCTCTCCCGATGACAAATAGACTATATTAATTTCCTCTCCTTCCCTCAAATTCAAACCTATTCTTGCTGCTAGAAGTCTCACTATATACACAAACAGTATCTGATAGCCTTCACCATTGTCAGGACACTATCTATCATGTTTTCTAAAAATGTGTTGGTTTTAGAGGTGATATTATTCCCAGCCAGGTGGATATTCTAAACCCTGCCCCCCCACCTCACCTTCAAAACTGCCTTCTAAGGTCTTTCCTCAGAAACCAACACCAGACAAACCCAGACTATACTATACCTAAAACCACTCTCCCTACAGAACTTTATATGGGGGCGGGGGAGGGGAGGGGGCTTGAAAATTTGGCTGTCTCCCATAGGCGACTCAATACTGACTCAAGACTCCATTATTTCCTGCCAGGACAGCAGGCGATGCTGACAGGTTATTGATCTGGGCTAGAGATGAAGAGCTTCTGTGAGACTTTTTTGGAGGGAAAAGAGGAGAACTGTTAGAGTAGGGGCATGCTGCTTGTTGATTGCAAAAATTCTTGCAAACAAGTTTTTCTCAACTCCTAGCAGAAGAGAAAACATGAACAACCTTCTTTGGTCAAATCTTCTTAGGCAATTTGCTTGATAGTTGTGTGGTTTTTCATTGAGATCAGCAGGGATGGGTGCCTTGACTCCCCAGCTACAACCTTGGGGATTGAAATTAGGGTTCTCCAACCAACATATGGCAAGAGAGAAAGCTCCTTCCAGGCCTCCCTGAAGCTAATGCTCGTTAGCCAGTTTTGCATTTACTTTAAAAATCACATGAGGCAGATGTTTATCCAGGTTGTGGATCAGCCAAGTTGCTTTGTTTTTTCTTTGGCCATGTGACCATTCCAATTGCTTCTTAATGCCTCCACCAGGGGGAGGGCTGGAACAAAAAGAGGAGGCAAGCATTACAGAATAGCAGAGTGTCTCAGGGTCCAAAGCAAACTAAAATTCTACTTGAAGCCTGCAGAGTCTGAATCTACACTACAATGTTTAGTTTCTCCAAAAACGGGGAGCTGGAAGACTGATGGGGGAAGACAAGTGGTATTATATGGGAATGCTATGGGGAACGTGAGGGCCAAGCTCTCTCCGACTGAGAAAGTAACAGAGGAAATTACACATTCAGAGCCATAAGTTTGAAGAAATCTCATGCTTTGGCATTTCTGAATAGTTCACATGAGAGCTCAGAGGAAAGGCTGGGAGAGTGAATTGTATGAGTATTCAGGGATGCTGAGTGACAGAGAGTCTTTAAAGTGTTTCAATCAGGGAATCTCTGGGAGCACATTTGCATTTTATCAAGAGCCCTTGGGCAGTAATAACATAAGGGGTGAATTAAAGACAGGGAAGACAAGACCAAGACAGGAATTGGGGGAAGGGTTTTGAGCTTGACATAGTGTTATTGTTACTCATGACTGGATATAAAAGAGAAAGATTGGAGAGGAAGTTGTTGAGATCACTTTGGATCAGATTTAGCTTGTGGTTTCCTCTAGTCAGACACTGATGTGGAGATATAAACACGTGTAGAGTAGAAGAGAAGGAAAGCTGAGAAGAAAAGCAACATTTGGTTAAGCGAACTCATTTAGGAAGTATTTAATCTTGGGAACTTGAGCCAGTTGAGCTTGGGAACTAGAAGACACTGATCTAGCTCCTAACATGGTGCTTTTCTCTGGGTTTCGTGGAAGAATGGACTGCTACTGCTCTTGGGGATGTCCCTTCCAGACCCCGTCTAAATGTTCTCCATGGACTAGAGAGGGGCTGACCACATTTAACAAGAAACTGAAGGTGAGCAGGACAGCAGGGCTACATAACACACAGACACAAAGAAACTGACTCCTCCAGACCTACTTACTCAACAAGTTCAAGTTTCCTAGACAACAACTTGAGACCATTTCAAAGTGACCTCTATCAAATTCTCAAGATTTAATAACAAAAGAGTACACACCATCAGATCTGGAAAGGCTCTTTAAGGAAAGCAACCTGCATTGCATCTGACTCCAGGTCCAGTGCTCTTTCCACTCAGAGCCACTGCTTACCAGGAAGTACCATCTTTTGAAAAATCATATCCCAAACATTCTGAAATATGTCAAACTTGAGTTAAGATAGTTAACATTTCACAGGAATCCAACTACTGGTGCTATATTTTATACATAATACATGGTCCTGTAGAATATGTTTAACTATTAGATAAGAAATTAGAAATGATTTTGTCATGTGTGTTTCTCATTCAGTGGCAGATATCATGTCCACAGTTTCAAAGAAATATTGAAAAGTACTTAGACAGTTTGGGCTGTCAGCTGGAACATGAAAAAATAGCTTTCTTATACAAAACTGGATATTATACAGAACTGGATTAATGAGTGTATTCATTCATGTGAGAGTCTAACTGTTCAATAAACTTCTAGTTGATTAATTTAACCAGGCTCCCATACTGTGCTGTACTAGGGTTTGATTTGTATACCATCTGTTGCAATGCACTTGGTTTTACTTGATTGTCAATGAGAAATAGTACTTCCACATGGCTTCATGGTTTTGTTCTTGCTATACTTTGTGTATAATTTTTCACTTTCCACTCCTCTAAAATGATTATTCTACAGTAATCTTTCTTAGGCATCCATTTACTCGGGGTCTTCATGTAGAAAATATTCATATTGTTTTTGGGAATTGGTGACAACAATAAATGAAATTAAAAAGCAATATATGAATTTTTCTTTCTGGTTTTTCCACCACAGGGATATTGGGCAACAAGTCATATGGGGGCAGGGGGAAGCTTGACAGCTGATAACCTATTAATTCAAGACTAGTTTTCTTCTTAATATTGTTTTTAACTCTTAGGGTTTCATCTATAGGGACTTGAAGCTAAAAGCTGTTTTATTTGAGGGCATTTCTCTTTCCAGTATCCTTTCTCCGTTTTCTCAAAAGATCACTTTGTCATAACAGCCTTACCCTGTCACTTTATTCCACCTTTATTTTTCTAAACAGAAACTGGCTCTGTACCCCAAGGCTGGTCTTAAAGTCACAGTCTTCCTGCTTTGTCCCCCATCATGGACAGCATCTTCCTTTATCAAAGTTGAATCCTGCAATAAATTGTTCTGTTTGTTTATATAGGACATGGCACACTGAGTGATGCTTTCAGATAGGGGGATGGAAACAAGATCTAAATAGAAACTCGGCAAATGATCAATGGAAGCTTAGATTATTATGCAATAATCATTTTGTACACTGTGAAGATGTGTCTTTGCCAAGGCTCCTTCTGATTGGCTTAATAAAGAGCTAAATGGCCAATAGCTAGGCAGGAGGTATAGGTGGGACTTCCAGGCACAGAGAGGACTCTGGGAAGAAGAAAGACAGAGTCACCAACCAGATGTGGGGAGGAAACAGGAGATGCAAGATGGAAGAGAGGTAACACCACGTGGCAGAACGTGGATTAATATAAATGGGTTAATTAAGCTATAAGAGCTAGTTGGAACAAGCCTAAGCTTTCATAATTAATATTAAGTTTCTATGTCATTATTTATGAGCTGGTAGCCAAAGAAAAATCTGACTACACTGGATAAGCGACTCCCAGGTATATCTGACCACACAAAGTGTCTCTCAAAGCAAATCTTTCATGGACATAGCAATTAAAGACAAATATCCCCAGCATTTTATTCAACTTAAAGACTGGGCTACAGCAGGGATACATTATTCCCTGACCGAGGATCTATTGGGTTGATATGGTTTGATTTGTTGTGTATCAAGGAAAGGGAAAAGACATTTTCCTGTTCTTGTCTCTTCATTAGAGTCTGTTCTTTGATTGAGTTTCCCTTACAATATCCCTATATACTAAAGTAATTCAGATCATACAGAAATGTGATTTACACTGTGCATTTCTCCAGGCAGAAAAGTTTGGGAGAGGGAGAATGTGTGTTACGGGCAATGAAGGGTAGACAAGATTGATGAATGTGAAACAGGAAGAAAAAGAAGTTTAAAGACTACTTCACATAGTTCTTCAGTAAAGCAGAGGGTAAAAACATTTGATAGGGACATCCAAAAGGTTTAAGAAGGACATGATAGTCTCCCCCTGGCAGCTTACTCTCCAGAATGTACTGCATTGCAGGCTTCTGGATGAACACAGCACTAATCAGAGTCCCAATAAGAGATAGATAGTAATGGGTAACTTGACAGTAATTGGAAGAAGGTTTAGTTACAAAGGTATCATTTACGGAAAGCATAAATGTAGGGAAATGCAAATAGCACAGTAACCCAGCCTAGTAGGAGCTGAATGCTTGCCACTTCCTAGACCTCATGGTTCGGGGCAGGTGTGGGGTATGTAGAGTTGTCTGTCTGGAGGAGAGAAGTGGCTTCACTGAAGGGTTAAGAAAGCCTAAGTGATAGGTGATCATATAGGGAGAGGAAAAGGGAGAACACATAATCTTCTTCCCTCTATCTCCTGCTAGTAATTCTCCTCAGTCAGACCACGAGAACAAAAATAGCAGCTATTGATGTGATTCATGCAGGTCAGCCTCCCCGGGAAGAATACAGCATGCAGAATGGTAAAGCGTGTATCTGGGAGATTAAAGAGCAGGCACCTAGCACAGTTGTCAGGTGGAAGTTCTGTGCGGAGATTCTTTGAAGCTTGCAGAATATAAGCAATCACTGAACCAACTCCAGTCATAGGGTCAATTTTACCTTTATATTGCCTCTTTTCTGTGCCTGTACAGTCAAAAGCATTGACTTTAACATTGTGCAAGGCTTTCCTCTGTTCCTTAGTATCCATTCTCTTCGTAAATGTTCCGACTTCTCCAATCCAGTATCCTTTGGTACATCATTTTGAATTGTTTTGCTTGCTCATGACAAAACAAACCAATGAACAACAGCAACAAAATCCAATTTTGCTTAAGGACAGCAAAGTCTGAATATAATTTGGCCTCTGGTATAAGTCATGTCCAGAAACTCAAATATGTCATTAGGGACTAGTCTTTCTTTCTCCAGATCTCCCTTCTGCTCTCCATCATACTAGCATCTTAATCAGGCTCCACAATCAAGACAGCCTCAATTCTGGCAGAAAGCTTCCAGAATTACTAGACTATACCCAAAGAATGGTACCTTGAAAAGTGAAAAGACCTCTCCTGAAAGTTCAAGTGAAAAAGAAAAAATTGAGTTCCCTCGAACTTTCAATAGAACAGAAAGGGAATGAACACTAACATATTCATTCTAAGAGCCAACATCACCCTGATACTGGAAAAGAGAACTATACTTATTTTCCACACAGATGATGAAATTCTCAATGAAATTCTTGTAAATTGAATCCAAGAACATATTAAGATCACATCCAATGACCAAGTTTGCTTCATTCCAAGGAAGCAAAATTGTTTTACAGTATGTTAATCATTAAGTACAATTCAACACATAAGGAGACTTAAGGACAGAACCCACACAATCATCTAAATCCATGCAGAAAAGGCCTTGAACAAATGGCGCTGGAACAACTCCATGCAAAAGAAGAAACTCCATACCCCTTACGCCATATAGAGAAATGGATCAAAGATTGAAGTAGAAGAGTTTGTAAAACACCTGGGTGGTGGTGGTGCACACCTTTAATCCCAGCACTCTGGAGGAAGAGGCAGGTGGATCTCAGTGAATTCAAGGCCAGCCTGGTATACAGAACTAGTTCTGGAGAGCCAAGACTATGCAAAGAAACTCTGTCTCAAAAAAAAGTTTGTAGATCTTGAAGACCTTGGGTTTTTACAAAATGATTTCTTGAGAGCTTGTTTGGAGGTTCTAGCAGGGGAGCGCAGCTACTTGTATACCCTTGACCGTCCTCCTCTATTCAGGGAAGGTCGTCCTCTTCGACCAAGCGTGCAGCTTCGGAAGGGATGCACATGGAGCGGTGAGGGAGGAAGGGGACACCCGCCTAGCCAGCCAGATCAGCTGAATCAACCCTGGAGATCAATGGGGTGACAGATATCGCAGCCAGATTGCCCTCACTTCCACAAAATGATTTCTTTAGGGCTGAGTGTGGTGACTTAATCCTATAATTCTAGCTCTTAAGAGGCTGAGGCACAATGGCCATGAGTTCATGGCCACCCTGGACTATCTATTAAGACTGTCTCAAAATAATCAAAAGATAAAGTTTTTAAAATATAGTACCAAAAGTATAAGTGGCTAAGGAAAATCTCTGTGCTGTCAAGAAAGTAAAAATATAACTCATAGATTGGAATAAAACACTTGCATATCATATGTTCAATTAAAGTGGACTATCTCTACTATATGTAAAGACAACTCAACTAAAGATGTGTGAAGGATCTAAAGAGATGTTTCTCTAAAGAAGATATATAAATGAATAATAAGCACATAAAATGTTAAATATCATTACTCATTAGAAAACTGACAATCAAAACAATGACAAGATCTATGTTGATATATGTTATACATTTTGAGCTGATTTTGTGTATAATGTATAAGAAGAGTCAAATTTCATTTTTTTCTTACAAGTGGATATCCAGTTTCCCCAATACTATTTGTTGAAAAGTCTGTTCTTTCACTAGTGTATGTTCCTAGAAACAATGTCAATATTAGTTCTCTATAACTACATGGGTTTGTTTTTAAACCCTTCATTCTGTTCCACTGGTCTATGTATTTTCTCTTACACCAATGTGATACTGTTTTGAATGCTATAATTTTGCAATACAGTTTAAAATCAGGAGTTCAGACGATATTGCTTTGGGGAGTAAATATGAGACCAACAGAATAGACTCATATTTGCCCAGGCTAGTCTCCGTTACAAATACCTCTGAATTTCCAAACTGCCAGCAAGTAAAGCCAATATGTCTCCCTTCGATGGCACTGTTACCTTAGGTATTCACCTGACCATTTGATGACAAACTGTCTACAATGTGCCAGTTATATTCTGGATGTACCAGAAGTTTGTTTTTACAGCAAAAAAGCATTTATCTATGGTATACTTTTGCCTTTCTTAAGTACAAGTCAATACAATACTATCTGAATTCTTAACAGAGTCTATGATCAATTGATATGTAATATCACTTAAAATTGAATTCAACCAAAGGATTTCTCATATAACAAAGAAAGGTACAAGAATTAGCCTATGATGATGAGCTGCACAGAATCCATACTACCACTGCAAAAGTTTGTGTTATGTGTGTGTGCATTAGTACGTGTATGTGTGTGGGGTGTGTGTGTGTGTGTGTGTGTGTGTGTGTGTGTGTGTGTGTGTGTGTGTGTGTGTGTGTATGCGCACAGTGTAGCCAAATTATCTTTTAAATGACAGCTAAAGCACCAACCAAAGTCTACACTCTGTAAGGAGGACAGGATCTCATTCTCCAGAATACAGTACATTCATTGAGGCAAAACTGTATATGATGCATGCCCTCAGCAAGAATCCATGAGTTCAAAAACAAAGGAGCATAAATATGAAGAGCTGCACTTACCGTCACTACTGGTGACACATCAAGAAACTTTGTGTTTGGCAGACATTCTAGAGTTATGTTCTGGCCCTGAAGTAAGCTTCCTCTAGCCTAAGGTTTTCTCTATCTTACAGCTATTGATACTTGGGCTGGAAAATTCATGGTTGTGGCAGCTGCTCTGTGCACTATAGGACATTTAACAGCATCCTGGGCTTGTATCTACTAGGCTCCACTATACAACCCTCCTAATTGTGACGCACAAAAATGTCTCCAGATATAA